TATTTTAATCAGATATAAAAAAACAAAGTTGTCTCGAAAATGAGGGTCAGCCTTCCACAATTACACCCTCTCCCTCTCATTTGTTTCTCTGTCTCTCTCATTCTTTTTGATTCCTCAGTTTATAATAAAGTGTTACCACCATAGGTGACACCTCCTTTATTGGTATTTGTGTGTTAAGAAATCAAACCTATCTGGTGTTAGCATGTCAGATGCTTGCAAGCCAAAGAATGTGGAGGAAGACTCTTTTTGCATGTGCACGCATGCATGTGTGTGTGTGTGTGTGTGTGTGTGTGTGTGTGTGTGTGTATTTTGAGGGAGATGAGTAATTGGTATCCTCCTTAGGTAGAATACTCCAAAGACAGCAGCCTCTCTAGCTGAGGCAAGGTTGATTGTGCAGAGAGCCTTTTACAGCGTAGCCCACAGACAATATGAAATTCTCTCTCCTCTGCAGCCTTGGTCTGCAGTGACACTGGCAGATGCTAAACTTCGGCCTGTCTAGAACAGTTAATTAGGTTATAGAGGCTGCCAAAAATCCCAAAGTCATCCAAAGAAAATGCAACACTTTGAAATCTGAAGCAAAGGTCAGAAGACACAAACATTAATCCTATTTCTAAGAAGAGAGAAACAAACAAAGAAGGAAGGGAAAAAAGAAAGGCAGGAAGTCAGGTCCCTGCTAATCTGGCAGCTCCTAATTAATCTTTTGTAAACAATATTGAGATCAGGCATAAAGTGATCCTAGCTCTTTTCTCCAGTAATAGATACTGTACATTCACACATGATGATATGCAATAAACACCGTATATTTGTGACCTTTCCACAGCTCTCAGTCCATACCTCTTGAGACAACAGAGGATCCTTCAGGGACCCCTTTCCTGCTGGAGAACATTTCCACCCGAGAATGAGTCTGGAGTGAAGAAATTGAATCAATTAAATGGCTGGGTATGTTCAAGCCTTCTTTATGGGCTGCATCAAATTATCACAAAGTAAGAACTGCTGCTGTCTGCCCCCTGGTTCTCAGCAGTGGAGAGGCAGCCTTACAAACCCAGAGACCCAATTCTTCCAAAGAGGTTACCCCAGAACGTGTGTGCTGGGGCTGGAGTGGGGTAAAAAAATGAACAGCAGTGCATGGGACTTCACTGCCACCAGCAGGCCCCAGAGGAAGTGCAGGCCCAGAGGAGGCCAGGCTGTTTAGATTAGGAGCATCCAGGCAAGAAGAGAACACATGCGTCTGAACTGCCTCACCTGCTGTGCCCGCCCACCCCTTCTTCCCCAATCTCAAAGATTTGGAAAAACTGTTATTCTTCCGTAAAAGACAGGTGTCCCTGCCCAAAAGCCCAGAATAAGTGATTTAGAGACTAAACTGCAATTAAGGCTACAAACACTCCCTTCTCCCGGCGCCCTTAGTCCCCAACACATTTACACTTTATTTTGCGAGGTCTTCGTTCCTGTCCTGGATTATGCAGTATTTCCATGGGTGCAGTGGAGTGGAAGGGACACGGCGATTTTACATCTGGGTCCCTCTGCGTCTCATGTCACCTAAGACATGGACTGGACCCCTGCGCCCTCCACCTTGAGCCCGGAACCCGAGGACGGCCGCGAGTCCGCTGTGGCCGCCCTGGATCAGCTTCAGGTGGAGCTGACCCACGCGTTGCACTGACTTGGAAAAGCGGCTGAAGTGCACACAAGAAGCTGCTGCCCACAGCCAGCTCTGATTTCTCGCATCCCAGTCCCAATCCACGGCCACCTGCACTTTGCGTAACGTTGCGCAGGGGGGCGCTCCCGAGAACCCACACCCTCCCGCCTGGCCCAGGTGCGCACCAGCCCGCGCGGGGCTCCAGCAACCTGGCGGCCGACGGGACCGGGAGCCGCCAGGCGAGCATAACAGCTGGCGAGTGCGCCTTGATGGGAGCAGAAAGGCCCCCTAGGAGCCTTAAAGGCCTCAGAGGAGCTACCCGCGGAGATCCGCTCCCGGAAAGGTTCCGGGACCACGCGGCGTGGAGCACGTGAACTGCGCAGCTTGGCTATAAAAACCCCCGCTCAGACGCGCGTGGGGAGCAAGCGGAGCGGCAGGACGCTGCCACCTGCGCCAGGAGAGATAGGGATGAAGCGACCCTCCCTCCAGGACGCCAGAGACAATCTGGAGACTTGATGCTTCAAACTCTCCGGGCCTGGCTTGGGGTTGCGTGCGTCGAACTTTGAGACTGGATTCCCTGCACTTGGGCAGAGACGCGCAGACGCCCGCGAGTGTGGATTCCCGAAAATTCTCAGGGCTCGTGTGACCTTTAGGAGAGTTGGAGGGGGCGTAGTAGAAATCTCAGGCTAATTGATTTCTTGTCCTCCACCACGGAGGCAGCCAGGAGCCCTCGGCTGTCCACAGAGGAGCCTGGGAGACCCCTGCGCACTCCCGAGGCCCCCGCGCCCAAGCCCCGACCGTCCTCTAAGCCGCAGGTTATTTCTGTGCCCGAGAGAGGCGGACTCGGATAAAGTCGGGACGCCTTCTCGTACATAAAGTTTCATCTGCTCTCCTCGCTCGCACTGTCCCTGCCGCCTGGCGGCCCCCTCCTCCCACGGTGGGCGCGGGCGGGGAGATGGCCGCCGGCGCTTCCCGGCGCAAACTGGCGCTGCGCGCGTAGCCGCAGCCACGCTGACCTCCCGCTCCAGCTGGCTGCTGCTCTGAGCCCTGGCAGCGGGCAAAGGCGGAGGCCCAGAGGGGCAAGAGACCTCTGCGACAGGGGCCCGAGGGTCCGTATGGCAGCTCGTCGCCGGCGGGTGCTGTGCGCCACTGAGCTCCCCAGTGGCGCTTCGGGCTCGGAGCGACTCTGAGCCGCGCCGCCTGCAGAGATCGACCCGGCAGTTCCGCGGAGCCGCGGGCAGGAACCCGAGGAGCAGGAGGTGGCGGCGGCGGCAGTGGCTTTTCCTCCCAGAGGGCGATGTGGCCGGCAGGCGCGGGCACCAAGCTGCCCTGTCCCCGAGACTCTGCGCTCCGGCGGGCAGCTTTCTCTGGTAACCTCACAGCCCTGCCCTCTCACCTCGTGCCGGCCGGCCGCAGCGTCCGGGTCTTCATCAGCGCCAACCCTGAAGGTACGTCTCTCGCTCGGGTTTGCCCGTCCGTCCTTCTGTCCGTCCGCGCTGCGGAAGCGGGAGTGTATGTGTCCGCCCTCCAGCCCGGTGCGCCCTGCACTCCCTTTCTCCAGCTAAAGCCGTGGCCGCCCTGAGCGCGTGGGAATTTAATTTGAATCACTTTTCTTCTCCCCTCGCTGGTCGGTTTTGCCTGCTCACTTCTATTAGGACACCCATTCTCCACCCAGGGTTATTCCCCTGGGTCAATCCGAGAAACATGCAAGGCATTAGCCGGCCCTCCTGGAAGCACCATTCTGCTGCCGCCGCCGCCACCACCTCCTTTCCCCCGCCCTTTTTTAAGCGGTTTCTTCTCCGAGATGACCGCAAACGCAAACAGTAGCTCTCCTCCCTGAGGCGGGTTCCTGAGTGCGGGGCTCCCTCCGTGGCCACTTTTTCCAGCTGAGGCGAGGTGAGTTCCTTGAGACTCTCCTCCTGCAGGTGCGATGGTGCCCTTTGCCGAGGCCAATCAGACTTTTGTGAACCGGAGGTCCAGGGGGACACGCTCTGTGGGTCCCGGAACAGGCTTCGCGGTGGAGCACGCAGGATGAGCTCATCTTCTCCGTTGGGTCACAGGGCTTGGTCTTCTGTATCTAGAACCTGGCCTACTCAGTCATGTTCCTGCTTAAGGCACCTGGTAGGCACTCCATGAAAACTTGTTGATTTCTTGTTGCATTCACAACCACAGAGGTTGAACGCTGGGCGGTCAAAGCCTGGCTCATCACTACCTTCCAATCCTTAGTCCTCAACGTTAGATTTCATTTCCAGTAAGTGGGGGTTTGGGGAAGGAAGGATGTATTTGTACTGGGGCTGGATAAAACTGCAGGAATTACTCTTTTCTAGGAAAAAAAAATGTTTGGCTATGAGTCTATAGGAGACTGACAGAGGTGAGAGGTTTGAGAATTATCATTTTCTGCACTCTAACAAGACTTTGGGTCGAGGAGTCAAGGAAAAACGTCCACATTCAAATGATCGTTGGATATAATTCTCATTTGAAAACCCAAGGTTCTGGTTTCTTGGAAAAGCTTTCGGAGAAGACCCACAAAAGTAACTTCCTAGAAAATTACCGTTTCGGAAAAAAAAAATAGCACTAGCAGAATTCTGAGGTAAAGCTTACATTATGAGAAGGAGTTGGGGAGAGAATCAAAAAGATAACATGCACTAATTCGTATTAGAAAAACGATATGCTTTGGGGAGACGGCACGACTGTCCTTTTATCAGTTTACAGCTCACTTTCAAAGAACTTAAGGAGGCTTTTAGGATGATACAGTACACTCAAAAAAATCATTCTATCTCCGAGATGTCTTCTAGTGTTTGTACCTAAACCTGGATTTAAAGGGAAAAAGAAATGGAGATATTCAGCCTATTTAAGGAAATTTGCAACTTAAGTGTTCAGGATTACTTCTTAAAATATTGCTAGAACATTTTTAAGTGAGAGAATTTTGGTAGAAAATGTTTCAATGTTAGACATTTTTAGTTCTGAGCTTTAAAATAAACTCATATGAAATGTGTTTCAATCTGCTGCTGACGTGAAGCTAGCTAAATCACTCTTTTCCTTTAAACATGCTGCTTCTAAAATACAATAAAAATTCTGTTAATATGTGTAATTTTTTCTTGCTCTCTAGATTTGCAATTTCTAAGATAAAACGATACTGAATTTATACTATCAGCTTAATATTGAGTTAGTATTCAAGGTTAATGTCATTTTTTAAGCCTGTCCATATTATTCTTCAAATTCCCTAGTTTCTTGAAATAAAAGATTTAGCATAGATTAACCCTAGGAAAGCGAACAGGAGGGAGGAGCCAGTCATGCCCCTTGGCTAAGGTTTGAACTGGACAGCTTCCACAAAGATCTTAACAAACAAAACAAACGTGAAGCTTACCTGGGAAGTTTCAATAGGGGCAGGATCTCAGATTTTATCCAAATTGGAGAGCTGATGACATATTAAATAAAAAAGACAGATGGGCATTTTTAATGATCTGAATGTGAAGCCTTAAAATCTTGGTAAATGCTCTGTCAGAGGCAGCACTTGACCGTGTGATCTTTATGGATGCAATTTAGAAAGCAAATGCTTGTGTTTTGGTACGATCCAATATTAGATTCTTGGCCAATACTGAAGAGCCTCTCTACTGTCAAATTAAGACAGAGAACATTATCTCATGCTTTCCTTTACAAGCAGAAATCCAATTTATGTTCTAAATAAAAGCTGCTTTGTGTTGAACTCAAAGCAATACTCAGAACCCAGCAAGGATTTTGCTTGGAGTATTGTTTTAATAGGTAATGCTGTACAAGGCTTGCATGGAATTTCCCCATCAGTAACGAAGATAATAGAATGGAATAGATAATAGAATGAATAGAACTTTTTTTTTTTGAGACGAAGTCTTGCTCTTGTCACCCAGGCTGGAGTGCAGTGGCGCAATCTCAGCTCACTGCAACCTCCACCTACTGGGTTCAAGCTATTCTCCTACCTCAGCCTCTAGTAGCTGGGATTACAGGTGCCCACCACCACGACCGGCTAATTTTGTACTTTTAGTAGCAACAGGGTTTTGTCATATTGGCCAGGCTGGTCTCGAACTCCTGACCTCAGGTGATCCACCTGCCTCAGCCTCCTAAAGTGCTGGAATTATACAGGCATGAACCTCTGCACCCGGCCATAGAATTTCTTTAGAATGAAAAAATTACTTTCCCATGTATTAGTTCATTCAATGTATTAATTTTGATTTCTATCCTCAAACAACCCTCTGAGGGTAGGGTAGTGGACCAGGGGTGCTCCATCTGTTCTACAGATGAGATTACTGAGGCTGTATCAAATTATACCACTTGCCTGAATTAATATAGCAGAGCGAAACAGAGTAGAGCCTAGAGGACCCTGAAAACACTTCTCTTGATATTATTTTATCCAGCCTAGGCTCTTGACAGATCTCTGTGAAATATCTCACACCACATGGACAAGACAATCCAGATAGGGGGGATAAGCACTGTCCAGCATCTTCTGACTGTCAGACTTAAAGAGTATGAACAGCTGGCAGGGAACATGGCTATGCTGACCCACTTTGCTCCCACCAAGAGGTAGCCCCAGGCATTCAAGGAAATTTCAGAATGTGCTGGACTCCAATTGACACATTCTTGTCCAGAAGTGTATCTGCCTCTGACTAGTCCCCACCATGTGGAAGATGCTGGAGAAGGACCCATGTGGGGGAGGTGATAGCATTATCCCAGATTTTCTTAAATGGATGGGCCTTGGACTTCATCTAGTTCCACCTCCCACCCAACATAGAAATTCCATCTGTGACATCTTCATCAATCCTTGGAAGTTTTCTAGTCATTTAGCTACTGTACTTCTGCCAGAACAGCACTTATAGCTCCTTGGAAAGATGATTTTAAAACCCACATAAAATCCTTTACTGTGATTAGCCTAAATAGCCCATGCATATGGAGATGAGAGGAACCTGCCAGATTCCTGTTATTAGAGTGTAAAGGTCCTCCTCTTCTCTGTCTTCATTCTTTATCAATTTATAGGAAGGTACAGTCTTAACACAGAAGGAAAACCAAAATATCACTTTTATTACTGATGAAAATGATGCAGGTCCACAATCCATTATCTGTGATCATCTGGGCCGGATATGATTTTGGAATCTCTTTTTTCAGATTTTGAGGAAAAATACTTATATACTGTCTAATATGTGGGGCCTGGGGTAACAACCCATGTCGGATATGAATAGGTATATAAGGAAACATGAGTTCAGTCTAAGCCAGTGTTATACAGAACTTTCTGTGATGCTGGAAATGTCTCTCTGATATGGTAGCACTAGCCACATAGGGCTACTGAGCATTTGAAATGTGGCTAGTATGACTAAGAATATGAATTTTTCATTTTATATAATTTTAATGGATTTAAATTTAAGTAGACTCATGTGGCTTTTGTATCAGATAGCAAAGCTCCAAGTGGAGTGATGCAGATTATAAGTAGCTTCCTGTCAGCCAAGGTCAGGTTTGGCCATCAAGGACTCAGGTCACTTCAGGTTTTGCTACCAGATGGATTGGAGGAAATCTTTTATTTTCAAAGCTTTGAAGATTTTTGGAATTGCGGGTAAAAGATATGGACTTTTATTGGAGAATATGGTTTTAACTCTGGGCAAGGGACTTTCCCAATATTGAACCCAAGAATTAGACAGGCTTCACCCCCAGTCACTGTTAGCAGTGGGCAGAGCACAGACCACTCTCCCTGGCTCGTGGACAGAGTGGATCCCTTTAAACCTTAACACGTGGAGAAGTAGAGGAGAATGGCAATTTTATGAGAGAGGAAGAAGAGGCTGGGCTATCGTGGTCAGATTTTCCTTCCACCTGCAGCCATCAGATTAAGATACTTCTCCTCCCCTAAGGAGTAATTGACAGCATCCTACACTAGTGCATTACCTTTTGCATGCAAAAAGATATCTGAAGTGGAGAAAAAGATATTAGAACACTTAATGCATTTTTCTGTCCACTCAGATTTCTGTGCTGGTCATTACTGAGAGTTGTGAACTCTTGTCCACAGTGTTGATCAGGTGTTCATACCATTACCACTTGATTTTCTTTTGTCTGCTATGGCTTTGCATCTTCCCAGACTCTTCATGCCTTTGGAGTCTCCATAGGAAAGTTTGTTCTCCATTACAGTGGAAGTAACAGCAAGAAACATGTTTTCCCTTTATGTGTGTACATGGGTTCATTTGCTACAACTAGTGATCAATTGTTTGAACTTGCCTCCCCACCCAAAAGGCAGAAATATCTGCATTGAGAAATTCACGTGAAACCTATCAGTATTCTTTACCATTATTCTTCTTACTTTTCCTACTATCCTGATTATTTCTGTGGCTCCCTTTTTATTGTCATTATGAGTAGTGGAAAAAAAAATACTGTAAAAAGCATATATGTGTGTATATGTACGTACACACACATATACACAGCCATTTTGATACAAGAACATCTTTAAAAACTAAGTTGTCAAGGGGAATATACTGAGTTGCTATATTATGATAAATGCACATAGGACACTTATAGTAAATGAGTTCTAAAATGTTAGTGGTTGTATCTTCTAAGTCCTGAAGCAGACATTATTCAAGTGGAGAAATTATTGGATAAAATATATATAGCTAGACTTGGGAGCCAGGTTTCTTGCATTTAAATCCTCAATCCACTATGTAATGCTGTGATTTCTTGAGCAAGTTGCTTAACTTCCTTGTTTTCAATTTCACAGTTTGTAGAAGAAGTCAATGATATCCCCTGTCTCACAGAGTTATGGAGTAGATTACATAAGCTAATAGATGTAAAGCACTTAGGACAGTGCTGGGCATGTAGTAAATATTAAATAAATGTTTGCTATTTTATTATTATCTTTATTACATTCTACCATGATCCAGACACTGTGCAGGTGTGTTTAAGCAAATATAAATATGTCCTGCCCTCAAGGAATGCAGTCCATAGAGGCATATAAATTAGAACTCAGTACAGTTATGTATTGCTTAATGACAGGGATATATTCTGGGAAATGTGTCATTAGTCAATTTTGTCATTGTATGAACATCGTAGAGTGTACTCACACAAACCTAGATGATACCGTTTACTATACACGTAGGCCATATGGTAAAGCCTTCTGCTCCTAGCCTACAAACCTGTATAGCATGTTATTGTACTGAATACTGAATAGGCAATTGTAACAGAAGGGTATTTGTGTATCTAGACATACCTAAACATAGTAAAGGTACTGTTGGCTGGATGCAGTGACTCAAGCCTGTAATCCCAGCACTTTGGGAGGCCAAGATGGGTGGATCACTTGAGGTCAGGAATTTGAGGCCAGCCTGGCCAGCATGGTGAAACCCCGTCTCTACTAAAAATATAAAAATTAGCTGAGTGTGGTGGTGGGCGCCTGTAATCCCAGCTACTTGGGAGGCTGAGGCAGGAGAAATGCTTGAGCCTGGGGGGCAGAGGCAGCAGTGAGCTGAGATCATACCACTGCACTCCAGCCTAGGTGACAGAGACTCCATCTCAATAAATAAACATAATAAAGGTACTGTAAAAATACAGTATTATAATCTTATGGGATCACTGTTACATAAGTGGTTTATTCTTGACTGGAATGTCATTATGTGGCACATGGCTGTAGTAAAATACAAACTACCCCAGATCTTTCATGGAATTAGGTGCTTCCAAAAATCATTATAGGGGTTGGAGGAGCAAAAGTCAGGGGCACCACTGGGTATTTAGTTCACATTGTCAAAGCCGCCACCCAGAGGGTAGGAAACTGCAGAAGCCATTGCCAGTATCACAGCTGCCCCTGAGTACTGGGTAGCTGCTCAGCCTCTGCAGAAACACGTTTGTTGAAACCTGCATGTTAGCCACTATGACTGCTGGTGAAGGAACTTTGTCCTCCAGATCTTATGCAGGTACATCCCTTTGGTAGAACCAGAATTGAGTTTGGACCCTGGCAACAAGCAAGTCTAGAAACTTCAGGTTTTTAGCCCCTGCAGTACTAAGGAGATAGATAATGGAAGGAAGAGATAATGAATAATCAACACCAAGAGGTAGTATCTAGCCAGGGGGAAGCAGACACATTCACTCACTCAAGCAGTACATATTCATGAAGCAACTACTCTATATGGAGTGCTGTTATGGTGCTTAGTATACAGAAAAGTGAACAAAACAGACTAGGTCTCTGCTCTTATGGTATTTCCATAAATAATATATATGTGACAAGCACTATGCTAATGATATGAACAGATCATTAAAGGAGCACCAAGGAGGGTTATGTAAACCAACTCGGGGTGTGGAGGGGGTCAGAATGAGGGGTTAGTATGGCTTCCCACATAATGAATAGAGCCAGGCATGGAAACTATTCTGCATGATAATCAAATATGAGGCAGAGTAATGATGAGATCTCCACAGGGAATAGAAAGAAATAGTCTTTATCATTCAGCAGAAAGCTTTTATCATTTTGAATAGAAGTGAAACTGATGTCTTGAGGTGATATTGTTTGCCCTTGAAGGTGGCTTATTTAAAATGAGGTTTGGAAGAAAGGATGACTTGGACTATAAAGGTAAACTATACATATGATTTTGCAGTTTAAAAA